GTTCGAATGTCTTGAAAATTGAGCTGAAATTGAAATCAAACAAGACAAGACAAGGAAAGTTCAGGGTGTTTTCTATCAACGACTCGACTTCCTCGAGGGGAGCACAGGAAGGACACAAGCCAGATAGATTACAATAAAGTGTCACTGTACTTGGCTGAAGAGCAAACATTATTATATGTATGTACAAGGGGAAGAAAGATATTAAGTTCACTTTCTGAACACATAAAGGACCATGGACAGATTATAAAATGCTACCGCCATCTTTGGATGTCAAGTGAACGCCACATGCTGCTGTTTAAAGTCTGTGAGAGCTAGTTAGCAAGCATGCAGAGAAGCTGACCATGCCAAACATTTACTTTAGAATCCAAATCAGTTTCTACTTTAAGGCATTCATTGTGTTGCACTCCATGATACATATGAGAAGTGACTGAAGCCGTTCTTTGGGAGCGATGGATAAAAAGAGCTCAAAAAAGTAGAAATCCCGCTCACTTCCATGCCTCCACACACCTGGCCATTAAACAAATGTTATAAGAGGTCATTTTAAGTGCACTGAGACCTTTAGGGGCCCATGACCCCTTGGGCATTTGGGCCTCTACCCGCATCCATGATTAGGATACAAAAACACTGATTATACAAACAGTAAATATAATTAAATGTCAAGTTGCTGAAGGAATAATTCCGCTCAACAATGGTGCACAGATTGGATGTTGTTCATTCAGCTTGGCATTCTCATTACAAACCCAGTTTTCAATAGCATACTGAAAAATGACTAAAAACGATTACTGTTTGCATCCTAAATGGTCCGTAAATGAAACTGCAGCATTATTTTCTTGCTCTCTCTCACACACAGGATTCATCACTGAACAACAAAACTAACACTACCCACTACCGTACTCAGTTGCTCACTCGGTTACTCACACGTCGGAATGTAAGGAATGAAAAAATATTTGCTCAATCTGAATTTCAACGATACGAAAAAAAGAAGGGAGACAGAAAAAAGAGAGCGAGAAGGGAGAGGAGCCGTGTTTCTGACAGGTTGCTGTGGTTCTCCTGTGTGATGTGTGTCCAGGGAGGCGTGTTTTCACAGCTCACCGTGTCCATTTCACATCTGACTGACACGAAGTTGAACTGAACAGAATGAACTCTGGAGAGCCGTGAGCAGGAAGAGACTAGGTGGCTTTTTCCCTATTTTGTGTCCTGTCTAACCCATAGTTACCCATAGCTATAGTTTCACTATTACTATAAAAAAACAATTTATTTGGTTTGTTTATTTCATTTTTTAATCATATCTTAGCTGTCAAATCACCCATTGACCCTCATAGATTCAAAGCCTTAGAAATATATACTAAAACTATACTGTGCATCATGTCAGTAAAGCTGATTGAATGGCATCACTGTAAATGGAGAGAGAAACCAGACTAAACCTCTGCACAGCAATAACTATAACTATAACCAAGTGATCCTCCACATTGATGAATGATAACATTGTGTAAACAGCAGCCCCAAGCATTCATTGCACGGTCCAGCTAGGTCAGCAACTTAATAGGAAAAAGTACATCTTTTTATGACCTATTACTGCTGTACAGAAACAAAAAGGAAATCAGAAGGATATGGGTTCACACTGTTTTCCAATGATAAGAGGAGTTAGGAGAATCCAACACTCTGCTATGAGAGCTGTAGTCCTTTGAAAACAAACCTTACTCATACTTTGGTAAAAAATAAGAAAATAAAAAGAGGACTAACTTCAGAAGGCTGAAATTATGTTATGTAAAGTTATGTATGGTTATATAAGTGTTTAATAAGTCGTATACAACAATATTGTTCATCAAATTGCTCTTAAAGTGATCCCAACGATATCCTTTGCCGCTGTCGTCATTATAGTCGCGATGTGGACTCCCACTTGAGTTAGAGAGATTTTTAGAACAATATATTCATAGTTGTTGTTATAGTTATTGTTCTTGGTGTGGAAGACCATCCAATAGCTGCTGAAACATTTGATCTATAACCATAAATCTAAAACTCACAGTGGCACTAAAGTAAAAGTCAGTAGGATTCATCGTCTGGTAACCATGAATGTATGTACAAAATGTAGCGCCGATCAAATTTCAAGAAATGCATCCAAAAGTTATTGTTACTGTTATTTCAATTTGGGCCAAAGCGGTAGACTGACCGAGCAACACTGGCATGCATATAGCCACACCACTATTGCCTAAAAAAGAAACAGGCAGACATACAGACTGAGGTAGTGCTGCTCTAGAAAAAGAAATAAATAATCTCATTGGCTGAAAATCCCAGCCAAAAGTCACTGCAGTGGCATGAATCTGTGGCATATGAAAGTACACACACAGTGCCCTGCTGGAGTCAACTTGCACTGTCATTAGCTTCAGCATCATTTCCCTCACTTGTTCAAAAGTGAACAAACCAGCAATATAAGCCATCTCAAGTCAGGAGGAGCAAAGGCTAATAACAAAGATCAGTTCAAGTCAAGACATTAACACATCTATATGTTTGTATATATGTATATTTGTTTATGAAATACTGTTGGAAAGCAATATTTGATAAACAGATAGATGTGGACTGAGACTAACTGATAAACAAAAACAAACAGGCAGACAGACGATGTAGGAGGACTGACTGACTCATCTGATGAGAGCTGTAATTAGAAGATGCTCGCTCGCCATCTGGGAAACTTCCTGATCTACAGGGCTGCACAAACTGCCTACCTGATGCATGTCTGAATAACTGACTCTACTTGATGCAAGACAAAGTTTATGTTTCTGTCAAAGACATCCCATAGGAGATGTAGTTTCCTCCTGATGCTATCACATTATAATCAGACTAGCCATGCCACCGCATCACTCAATTCCTGTTGACGGTCATTGACAACAGGAATTGTTAAAAGGTATAAGAGTGTTTAATTGAGAATGCAGATTATTTTTATTCAAACGAGGATACTGTAGAAAAAAATGTGACATCCATGAAGAGGGAAAATGGACAAGAAGTCATTCATTATGTTTTGAATTATGTCTGCCAAAGGACTATTTTATATACAGCATATCAGCCTCCAACTCTCAATAAGTGTGTCATGAGGTCAGTGAAAACACTTTGAGATATTAGGCAATCCTTAAGACACCAAAGCACGGTTATTTTTTTGCTTGCACTTGAATACTTTTACATGGAATCACTCTATTAGGCTATTTTTACTTTTACATCAGGACTTGAGTATTTCCTCCTTTTCTGGGCACAAAGCACTCCTCGCTCTCCCTCTTTATTCCTCCTCTGTAACCCTGTTTTCTAATCATTCA